TTATACAAGGCAATGGTTCTCAAATGCCACACCTTAAACTACCAACACCACCTGTATCAGAATCATCTAGAGCAACTCTGAAGATCTGCATTATTGGCTCTATCCCGGCTTATTCACTCAATCTGAAAAAACAATGAATTTGTATTTTTAATGAACATGATCCGGATTAGTTTAGGGATTGGTTACAGAAAATTCAAATTATCATCTTTTTAACAGGATGGAATTTATTGCCTCTTATAGAAAGAAGCTCTAGTATATGAAAGGTTGGTATGCTAGCTTCATCATGTTGTGAAGGACCGAGGATCTTTGTAGCTCACTGTCTCTCTTCCTTAAGGTGTCACAGTTGGTTTTATACTTTAAAGAAACTGTTAGAAATCTGTCCACTCTATACATCTTCCACGCAGAAACAAAGAGAAAGTCAATAGGGTAAATGGGCACATGATGGCCGAGTCAGCGTTTTCCAGAAACTACAGCCAATGGCTTCTACTTGCATTTCATTTACCTCAGTGTTATTTAATGTCTCAACCTCTCTCCCACCTGCAAACGAGGCTGAGATATCGGGGCTATTTTTTATCTTAACATGTTGCCACCCTTGTTAAAATTGGGATTCTATTAGTAAGAAAGAGGAGACAATGGGCATCATATTGGGACCTAGCAGTTTCTGCCACACCCTCACTTTAGGGTATATTAGAACTCACATGCTTTTAAACTATTCACTATTATTTATTTTTGAAATACCAAATCCAATCTATCTCCCAGGTCTGTTGAACTTGGCTCCTCAAAGTCTTCCAGAAGACATCACAATGCCCACAACCCAGTTTACAGCCACAATCCTAATTGAAAATCCACCTTAGGGGTGACTTGGCGACTCGTCAGTTAAGTGTCTGACTCTCGCTTTGATCTCAGATGGCTCCTGGGTTTGAGCTCCCACTGGGCTCTGGGCTGATGGCATGGAGCCTGCTCTGCTCTCTCCTCTCTCTCTGCCCCTCCCCTACTTTCTCTTTCTCTCAAAATAAGTAAACAAACTTAAAAAAAAATCCACCTTAATCCCTTGCTCCTCTGCTTCTGGCACATTTGACATTTGACCTCATGACTCAATGTAGTCCTTTGTCCTATCTTGTCAGAGTGAAAATTTGACCGTGTCAATCACCTGGAACTCCATTTGCTCCTAGAATAAAGAAAAATTCTTTATTCTTGACAAGACCGACAAAACCTTGCATAACTTAGGATCTTGCTACCTCTCCAGCCTCATTCCACAATATGCTCTCATCTCTCTCCCTTCCTTTCATACTCTCTCTCTTTTTCTGTCTGTCTCTGTCTTCACGAATACTTGTCTTATTTAAGTCCCATAAAAGCACTTTGTTTCTCCTCTATGACCCTTTCAAAGCAATTTTGGGTGATATTCTTATTCTTTTTACCTTTCTTAAAATTCTTTTCCCTCCCTTCAAAAGAGTAAAAACTAGCACATGCCTGCTCTTTCTTGTACATCTACCGAAAGGGTCATTACCTGAGGAAAGCTCAATGTGTACTTTCAGAATCACAGTCCTCTGACTTTACAGACTTGCAGTTTTTCCTTTATTTCTTTGATTAGTTGATTAAAAGCCGGGGCGCCTGGGTGGCGCAGTCGGTTGGGCATCCGACTTCAGCCAGGTCACAATCTCGCGGTCCGTGAGTTCGAGCCCCGCGTCAGGCTCTGGGCTGATGGCTCGGAGCCTGGAGCCTGTTTCCGATTCTGTGTCTCCCTCTCTCTCTGCCCCTCCCCCGTTCATGCTCTGTCTCTCTCTGTCCCAAAAATAAATAAACATTGAAAAAAAAATTAAAAAAAAAAAATAAATAAAAGCCATTTCCACTACTACTCCATGAGGTCCTTAACAGCAGGGGCCATAGCTGTGTTTCTCACTCCTGAATCTGCAGCACCAAAACATTTTAGGCATCAAGGTCATCAACTCTCCTTCGTCCTCCTTTCTATCCATTAACTTATTTAATATTCTTCCTTTATTTTAAGCCTCCTCAAAGATAATATTGATAATATTGCAGTGAAGGCACAAATAAGAACATGTGGCTGAGTGTTTCAGACTGTAATCCGTGGATCTTTGCAAGTTTATGGGTAAATGTCTGGGATGTAGCAGGGGTTGGCATAGCCCATGGGTCAAAGCTGTCTACCACCTGTCTTTGTAAATGAAGTTTTATTGGAAAAACAGCCATGCCCACTTATGTATGCATTGGCTATGGCTGTTTGTACTAGAACAGCAAAGTTGAGCTGAGATATGACTTCAAAGCCTCAAGTAGTTACTATTTGACCCTTTACAGGAAAAAGTTTGCCAACCCCTGGGAGATAGGAGTTACATGAGAATTTTTAGATTTGGAGATCTCTGTTTGATGAAAACAAAACAATAATGGCATATTTCTAATAATCTGTGTGACCAACTTAGAATACTCCCCTTGGTTTTGATACTTTTGTGCTCTTTATGTCACTTGCACTACATGAAAGACAAATGGACTAATGGCATTCTACAAATAAAGGCACCACAGTTGTTTAAATGGAGAAAACTATTTAGGAAAGTTTGGTTATGATATAGCACATGGTACTGCAGACAGGACCAACTCCCAAGAACCTGTTCCCACAGTTACCGCAATGTTTCCATTGGAAGAGGGTGTATCAGTCACATTTCTTGTTTAGATGTATCAACACACAATACAGTAGATGTAAGAGTAGCAGTAAATGCAAATATTTTTTCTTCAGCGCTGATTTTTTGGGGGTGTTTTATTACATTCAGTCATTTTACATTGGTAAAATGGCAGGTTAAACGGATATCTTGAATAGAAAAGTAAATATACTAGTAATATCTAAACATAATAATTTAGACAACAGTATATTAAGCTCCAAATCATTTCAATCAAGTAAGTTGTTGAACTACACAATCTATAGTATTCTTTTAATCAGCCTCCAGCAACCCTTTAGTTTTGGGCAAATATGATCCTTCACATTCTTTTAATTTGAATTTGATCAATTGTATATTTTGCTTGCATTTTTTTTTGTTTGGTGTTGTAATCGTGAGACCTAGGAGCCTAAAACATTTGTATTTAATTTAATTTTGCTTTATATTAAGCCATCCTAATATTAAAAAAATAGTATAAGAGTGGTTCCTTAAATTTTTTTTTTCAACGTTTATTTATTTTTGGGACAGAGAGAGACAGAGCATGAACGGGCGAGGGGCAGAGAGAGAGGGAGACACAGAATCGGAAACAGGCTCCAGACTCTGAGCCATCAGCCCAGAGCCCGACACGGGGCTCGAACCCACGGACCCCGAGATCGTGACCTGGCTGAAGTCGGACGCTTAACCGACTGCGCCACCCAGGCGCCCCAATAGTGGTTCCCTATATGAAAAAC